ATTCAGAACATCTTTATTCTCCATTGTACTACTTTCGTGTTTTCCGCGCCTCCCCTTTTAAGATATCACGTGATTTGCTGGTCACATGATATAATAATGGTTGTTGTTTCGTTGGATACTTGCACGCCCTGTGACGTTTGTGAAATCAACTTTTATCTTTTTGCAAGGGGGGGGGGGCATATCTGCTGTGATAAAATAAATCAGCTTGTTTTTCCGTTAATAATCATCATACCGCTGACACTTGTTTTTTTTAAAAGTCTATTAATGCTACGTAAGTGATGCACATGTATAAATTACTGATTAGATCTCTCTCTCTCGCTCTCTCTCTCTCTCTGCATGGAAAATCATGTGCTTCTTTACTTTCTGGCGATGGTTGATTGTTATATTCGATTTAAATTTTTTATTGATATATGGGACTTTTTTCTTGACTCCATAACAGTTTATATGTGTAGGAATTTCTTTAATTTGTTTTTTCCAAGTGATTAGTAAATCACTTAATTGTACTAAGAAAAAAGTATTACTTGCAGACATATAATATATTAAGACATTATTTCAAAAACTTAGTGGTACAGTAAATAGTTTTAATTTAGGCTGAATTGCAATACTGATTATTATTAACTGTTGTTAATAATACAAAAAAAAAAAAAAAAAAAAACCCACTCATTTTTATTGCAGGAAATTCTAGCAAGATCTATCTCTAATGTAAACCAACTCGAGACTTATACACAATTACATACCATTTAGAAACAAATTGAGAGTTTTACTCTATTTATTCTTAAGTATTTTTGATTGGCCTTGTGCTCTTGTTTATTTTATGATGTCAAGTAGAGGAGGGAAATCATATTGGTCTCATTGGAGGAGAGTTCGTGCCAATGTTACAAGTCATTTACAGGAATTGCAACAACAATCCAATGTAGATGTTACATCTCTTCAAGCACAAGCTTCTCCTTCTCATCTTCCAAATTATAATCAAGAATTACAGACTGATCACATTTCTGTGGATTCTGTAACTGAAGAAGTAGATAATGTGTCAGACCATTCTGACACAGAGGATGCTAATAGAGATAATGTTTTTCCAGAACATCATTTTGGTTGTAACTCAAGTGACTTAAATTCCGAAAGCTCATCAGAGGATGATGACCAAACTTGCTTAGTAGGTAAACTGCAAGAGTGGGCAATAAGTGATCAGGTTCCAAACAGTACATTATCAAATTTGCTTGCTGTTCTTAAACCCTACTTTCCTTTTTTGCCCAAGGACCCTCGCACATTACTTAAAACCAAACTTACATATAATGTTTTAGAGGTATGTGATGGGCAGTATTACCATTTTGGGATCATTTCCAGTCTTCTGAACAAAATAAAATCTTCTGTCCAATTCTTACCAGAAGGATTTTGTTTTGAAATTCAACTCAACATTGATGGCTTACCACTCTTTAAAAGTACTAACCATCAGTTTTGGCCTATACTTGGACAACTCCAAAATGTTGATGAAAAAAGTCCATTTATTATTGGCCTTTTTTCTGGCATGAGCAAGCCAGATAATCTTGATGAATATTTAAGGCCATTCATTGATGAATATAATGAGTTGAAGAGAAATGGATTTGAGTTTGAGGGAAAACAATGGAACCTAAATATACATTCAGTCATTTGTGATACCCCTGCTAGGGCATTTGTAAAGAAAGTAAAAAGTTTTTCTGGGTACCATGGTTGTGACAAATGTGTTCAAAATGGTGAGTGGATGGGGAAAATGACATATCCAGAGGTCAATGCAGGACTAAAACAGATCAGTCACTTGACCAAAGACTGGATGAAGATCACCATACGGGTCAGTCTCCTTTTGCTAACATTCAAATAGGAATGGTCAGTCAATTTCCAATATACTATATGCACCTTGTGTGCCTAGGAGTAATGAAACGTTTACTTCTATTGTGGATTGAAGGTCCTCTTCAATGTAGACTAGGTTCAAGGGTCATTGCCGACATTTCCCAGCTTTTGCTAAATTTGAAAGGTCACATACCAAGTGAGTTTGCAAGAAAACCGAGATCACTAAAAGAAATTGACAGATGGAAGGCAACTGAATTTAGGCAGTTTCTTCTATATACAGGACCTGTTGTTCTTGCTCAATTATTACACCCAAACTTGTACAAAAACTTTTTATTACTGTCTGTAGGAATTCATATTCTGATAAACAAAGGCCTTTGTCAAACATATAATGATTATGCAGAGCAATTACTCAAAACATTTGTGACTCACTTCTGTCAGATATATGGTGATGACATGGCTGTCTATAATGTTCATGCACTAGTCCATCTTGCCAAAGATGCTGCAAAATATGGCAGCCTTGAATGCATTTCATCCTTTCCGTTTGAAAACTTTTTGTCAAAATTAAAGCACTTAGTTAGGAAACCACATTTTCCTCTTCAACAAGTTATTAGAAGGCTATCAGAGCAGATAAATGTAGAGAAGGACCCAAAAATATTTCCTGTTTTGAAAGGGGTTCATAATCAGGGGCCACTACCAGATTCCCTGTTAACTGGGACCCAGCATAATTGTGTTAAAACTGAAAACAATGTTTACAAACTTAATCAGAAAGACAGTTGTGTAAGGATACAAGGGAACATATGTATAGTGCAAAATCTTGTACATGACGAATCTGAAGTACATATTGTTTACAAAAAATTTAGGCATGTAGAAGACTTCTTCACTGTTCCACTTCAGTCTAGTCTTCTTGGCATTTTGAAGGTTTCCCAACTAAGCGACAGAATACATACAGCAAAGCTGGAGGATATACAAGCAAAGTGTGTGCTACTTCCCTATAGAAATAGTTATGTTTCACTACCTTTTTCTGATGCTGTGTGGTAGGCGTATTAGTATTTCTTTGTTTCAACATTAGAAGAATTACCAGGGAATTTACTTATGTATGATTTACATGTTAGATACAATAGATGTTTACATATTGCTAATTTTTATACATGTACATTACTGTGAGCACAAGGTCAGCATTCCCATTTTTGGTTACAAATCAAGCTTTTCTAATTCAGAACCAATTAAATTTGCATTTTTTTTTTCATTTAAATACTGTATAGGGGGAAAATAACTCGCGGTGTTAGTATTCGCTATATTCACGGTGTTAATAAATCCGTGAATTCAAGAAACAGTGAATAAGTTTTCAATGACCTCATGTTTTATTTGGAAATTTGAGAAAAGACTACGATAGGTATATATACCTGCAGTACATGGGCATTTCAGTAATTAGGAGTAGTACCTGTCATTCAATTATCTTAATTATCACGCTTTACTTTAATTTTAATAGCCAACGCTACATGTTTCATCAATCAAAACACGTGGGTCATGGGTTTTGATTACTCGTGCGTAACTGATGTTACCACGTGTATTTGTTACCTGCATTATTACTGCGTATTAGTTTTTATCGACATTTTGGTTTTAAGAAATCATTCAAATAACTATCGAACTTGCTGAAGATGTGAAAGGATATTATTTCGTAGACCTACATTAATTAACATATTTATTACCGTCCAGTGGTTTTTATCGCCGCGATGATTATCCCTTCGGGAAGAAGATCTTGGGGTGTACATGCACTCATCGTAATAGCATATAGGAAAGTCATTCGACGTTTTTAATAACTGTACTTTTTTTTAATTAATCGTCAATTAATTATTAAATCTAACTATTTTATGTAAACCTACCCTGTTGTTCGTGAAGTGAATACATAACTCTGATTAATGTCGTTCTAGCTATGCTATGGATTTAATATAGACAAGGGAGGTAACTTTTACTATATAACATTTCCGCGAATTCAACAAACCGCGATCGTGTCCGAGGAGAGAAAAACGTGAAAATTACAACCCGTGAAATTAATCCCCTATACAGTAATTTAATTACTTTGCCCAGGACTGTGTATAAGTATGCAGTTGTTGAGTTTACGGATGAGAAGGAGGTGGAAGTGGTGCCCGTCAAGTGGTTGACATCCAACCATAAACAATGGTTTTGGCCAGTCTTCAAGTCAACGACAAAAGTAAACATGGCTATTAGACAAATGGTGACCCCAACATCAGACTTCACACCATTACCTGTGAAAGTCTTGTACCAGACAGGTATGAATGCATTTTTGAAGGGTGAATCCTATCATTTATTATAAATGAAAATAAAATCTGTCTTATACACATATATTCGTTAAAGCCAAAGTGGCCTTACAATGTTGTTAAACCATATTTTGTTGTGTTTGTTCTGGGAAGAGGTGTTATTTAATAATGATTTCGTGTGAACAGTTTATTAAAGCTATATAAGCATGTAATTGTGTGCATTCAATAATTTACAGATGATTTCATGAAAGCTAGGGAAAAATTGTCAATAGCAGAAGAAACATCTGATCTGCAAACAGAAGCAGAGGAAGAGAATCAGCTGAGAAAAAGAACGAGAAGGTAGTTTGATTAATATTACTCAGAAAATCTGTCCAAAAGGAAACGTACATGCAAGATCTGATGCTTTTGTCATCTAACCTTTGCTCAAATGACTGGTCTTTTCTTAGAGCAGCACTCAAAATAAATGTATTAAATTATATTCAGTTGATAACTTTTTCATATCCAGAGTTAACCCTCGTTATGAAAGCGATGATAATGAGACAGAAGATGATGAACCAGTAAGTAAGAAAAAGCCAAAGGTTGCAGTAAGGAAGTCCCCAAGGAAAGGGAAGCAAAAGCAAAGGATCCCACCACCACTCCCTCCTTTTCCAGAATGGCCTATCTCTGAGGATGAGGACACAAACATTTTGCCACCAAATCAGCCACAGTCTAAAATGCCAGATAGTGAAAGACCATCAACATCAACAACACTGTTTGAGAAATCAAAGCCCTCTCAGCCATCAGGTACATACTTATGAGGAAACTTCAAAGATACAATAGGATATCTGAATATAGTATTATGTTCCTTTTTAATCTTCATTTCTTTATTCTTTTTGCTATGATCTCATTATGCAGCTATGGATGTTAAAATGCTGACTTGCCTTGAGCACATCAAGGCACAAGTACACCAAAACACTAGACTCTTGCAAGCGATTCTGAAGAAATCTGATGAGATCCAGTCAGTTGAGGAAGGAGAGCCCAACCAATTTAACATTTTCCCCCTAAAAATAAAGGATGATGTGGACAAATTGGAGGAGAAGTTGGAAGACGTTGAAGTTACAAATCAACTCGTAAGTTTCCCCCTGCTTGTGAACCAAGATTTTATTATATTACTGTTCAAACACAAAAGAAGATCTGGTTCAATATACGGGTAATCAAATGTTTCAAGTGCAAATTTTGTTTTAAAAAAATGTACTGAAGTTATATACACAATGAATGTCTTTGGCATATACTTGTAGGTAAAGAATTTATGCACAATCGGTGGAGAAAATGTAAAGTCCACTGTCAGAAGACTCTTATCTTACCTTTTTGCCAATGACCTTGCCATTCGCATCAACTGGAAAGGGAAGGGAGGAAAAATTGCATTTTCCTCCCTTAGAATCAAGGATATAGTTACCAGTAAGAATTATTTTATTTATTTTATTCTGATTGGGTGAAAGCATCCCTCAGAAAAAAATTATTTAGTTGTTTAGTAAATGTAGATGTATAAGTTTTAATTTTGCCCCCTTTAAAAAAACTGGAAATATTGTTTTTCACCTCTCAGTTGTAGGTGTACAACTTAATTGATCAAAATGAACAGTAGACCACATACTGTCCATTACTGTAATATAGACAATGTGCAGTAAACTTTTTATTTGTCATGAGATTTAAGAACTTGAAGCCTATAAGATTAAGTATGCCATCACTATATGTCTACAAATTTGTTACTTTTAGGGACTGTCCGAAAAAACAGGCTAACAGCTGCAGCGACAGACAGCGAAATTTGTACCATTATAAAAGATTGGTTTCGCTTTGCCAGTGACCGAGAAGGGGGGCGAAAAAAAAGGGAAGAGAGGAAGAGGATGAACGAAGAGAAGAGGAAAGAGAATGAAAAAGGAGAAAGTGCAAATGACTCGGAGTGAATGAAAGAAAAGGAATGAAAACTTTTTAACATGAAGCATCATTGCTTGACACTTGATTAATTATAATAGATTTAAAATTACCAAAAGATCAAAGATTAAAATCAGCAACCAATAAGTGGATGTTATTTTATATTTTCTAATTAGAAAATTTCTGAGATGTCCAGTTTGCCCTGAAAAAAAATCATATTATTCAAGAAAGATTATTTTGAATGTCAATCAGAAATACACCTAAAATGGAGTTGACTGACTAGAAGAATGCGGAACATGTCGTAGATGACATAAATATATTATACTCTGATAGTCCTCAAATGACATTTCTATATTCTTTGTAAGTCAAATGTTGGTCATGCATTGGGTTATCAGGCTAAACTTTTTTCCCACTGTGTTGGCCCAGTGTTGGCCCTACACTTACCCAGCCGTTTACTGTTGGCCCAACGTTGGCCCTACACTTACCTAGCCGTTTACTGTTGGCCCTACACTTACCTAGCCGTTTATTGTTGGCCCAATGTTGGCCCTATACTTAACTAGCCGTTTACTGTTGGCCCAACGTTGGCCCTTCACTTATAAAGCCATATACTATGTTGGCCCAATGTTGGCATTGCGTTCATATATATTAACTTTACAATATTGGCCCAACATTGGCCCTTCCGTAACATGCCATGTACTATGTTGGTCTAATGTTGGCCCTACGATTACATAAATACATTACAGCGTTGGCCCAACATTGCCCCAACATGTTGGGCCAACAAAGGGCCACAGTGCACTTAGACATTGCGCCAACGTTGGCTGCCAACGTTGGGCCAACAAAGTGTGTTACATTGGACCAACATTGTCCCAACGTAGTCATGCTATCTGGGCAGTCTATAAAGGAAGAAAATTTCAAGAATCCAACAAACTAGATATCAAATCATACATTAAACCAACAAACAATTTTCAGAATCTACACAGAGAAAGCGCTCACAACCCAGCGGTATTCAAAGGTTTTCTCAAGGGTGTATGTATAAGACATGAGAAATATCAATAACACTACAACTCTCAGTATAATTCTACAAGACTTTAAGAAACACTTGTCAAAGAGAGGCTACTCTGATACAGAAATAGACCCTATTATCACAAGCATAATTAGAGCAGACAGAAATGAGATCCTTAATAAAACAGTGTTCAGCAGAAGAATCAGTAGTAAGACCAGTTACTGAAGATAAAGTAGACTCTATAGAAAATGGTCTTAAAATGTACAGAAAACGTTGCAGGGAATAAGAAAAAAGGTTCCGAAATATGAAAATGTAGCTGGTGAATTAGAGAGGATAGCGTCATTGATCGAAGGTCAAAACACTAAGCTAACGGGTTTTTTAAAGTATGTTGCAGAACAATCCGAAAGTAACAGCGATGAATTATACTATATGAGATCAGAGAATGCACAATTATGCAAAGAACTTGACTTAATGCGTGCAATGATCATACATATGGACCCCAAAATGCAGAACATTGAGTCCGAAATTACAGACTTGAGATTACGATGAATGCGTGACAATATTTTGATTCATAATTTAGCGTTATACAGGTGGAGAAAATCTGAATCAACACGTTCCTAATAATTTGAGGTAAAATCTTGGCGTTGATGTGAAGTTCGTCCGGATACATAGAAACAGCGTGAGAGGAACGGTGAATTCAAGGCCGGTATCCATCACTGGTAAATTGGTGGACGGCAGGAAAAAAGAATTAACTTCTCCGCGCTCAAAAACAGAAAAAGATAGATAAAGTGGATGTACCATTATACAGTACAGCTCAAGAGCCAGCGTCAATTTTGGAGGAGCGTAAGCGGGTATACGAAATTTCCGACTCCTTGAGAAAACAAAATATGAGATGTAAAGTTGAAAGGGGGCGTGGGATTATGCCGAATGGTCAGCGATATGTGGACCCTGTTCCAAAGCTGGAAATCTCAGACACACTACAGATTAGTCAAGAGGAAACAGAGACACTGGATAATGTTAACATCGTATATACTGAACCGACAAGGATAAAGAACTCAGAGATTTCTCCCACTGGACTAAAAATTCACGCGATAGAGGAGGTGAAAGAACTTTATGAAAAAGTGAGTATTGACCCTGTTTCGGCGGAAGCAGACCATCGTATCTTAATTTATAGAATTATAGACAACTCAGGGAAGTTTCAAGAAAGCTACTGGGATGAAGGAGAACATGGAGCAGGTCGCCGCTTGTTGAAGCACATGCAATCCAACGAAATAATCAACATCGGTTTAGTGATTACACGATGGAATGGTGGTACCTTAATTCCTTGAGCAGGAACGTTTCCGTTTTATGGAAGAGCATGTCAGTGATATTGCAAATCGGTTGGATGAGAATTAGGTATATCTTAATTAGTGCTTTATATTGTATAGAGCTCAAAAATCAAACCAGCAATCCGGAACTTATAAATCTGTTTTTCCGTAACTATACAGAAATATATTGCATGGTTCTTTGTTTAGTTAGCCTGTCCTCTTTCCAGTGACACAGTGAGGGTAAACACTAACTAGATAATATTGTCATATTATGACGGCACTGCAGTTTATCTAAATATTTGATTTTTAGTTTACTTTAATTTCGTAATAATAATCTACATTATCAATTAATCTTTCCTATACTTGGTTTTTCTATTTACTCTTCTTTGCTAACTTTCTTGCTTACTGAGGGAATTAACAAAACATGCAAAATTTCGACATTTGAAAATAAACATATATCCATATGTCTGAAATTAAAATAATATCTGTCAATTGTCAAGGTTTAAATAATGCACAGAAAAGAAGGGATGTCTTTCAATATTTCCGACAACAAAATCGCAATATTCTGTGTTTTATCGACACTCATTTTACAGATTGAATTGAACAAATCATTAGAAATGAGTGGGGATATAAAGTTTATTTTAGTTCTTATATTCCAAACTCAAGAGAAGTTGCAATTTTGTTTAATAATATTTTTTCTTTCAATGTACATGATCAGTTTTTAGATATATCTGGTAATTACTTGACTTTAGAGGTTAATTTACTATAGAAGATATAAAATTACATTAATGACTATATATGGACCTAATGATGATTGTCCAATATTTTTTGACAATATATCTAATATGATTACTAGATCAAATGATGAGGTCATTATCGTTTGAGATTTTAACATAGTATTAGATCCAGTTTAGGACTGTTTTAATTATTTGCATGTTAATAATCCTAGGACAAGACAAGTAGTACTTGAGATATTAAGCACACAAAATTTAGTAGATATTTACAGAGGATTTCATTCTGATGACAAAAGATTTACATGGCGGAAATCTAATCCCTTGAAACAGGCAAGGTTAGACTTCATACTTCTTTCCAACTCCCTTTTAAGGATGGATTCTTGTCAGCATTTTACCAGGTCCGGCACAATCTCTTGATTTAGCTATATAGCTTGAAAAAGCTATATAGCTTTATTAAGCTATTCAGAATAGCTTGATTTAGCTATTTTATCACACTTTTTTCTTAAATGTGTTATTTTCTCAGCATGCACAAAAAGTCGCACCTTGGTGCAGTGATAATATTCAACCTTGAACTCTTCTGAAAATAATGCATGTAAAAATCACTCATCAAATTACGTCTCCTTAAGAGACTTTGTACTCAAAGTTCTAAAAGTTTTGGGGCTATATAAAGCAATTGATACAGTTACTTCTTCATTGAAATTATAAAAGAGGCCCACTATGGTCAACAAGATAATTGACTGGTAATAATTCAGTACAATGAGAAGCAATCATACTTACCCACGCCTCGACGCACACAAGGTGGTGTACAGTTACTCAAACAATGGAAATTCATCTTTTGCTTAAAAGTATTCAAATGCTGCAGTGTTAGAACTATCTTTGATTTCAGTAGTTGTTTTGATAGCCCATTGTACATATTTGAATAGTCAAATACTTGCGATTTTTTGTCTATTTCTTACAAAACACATTTTTCTGAAAAACTGCACATAAATAGCTTTATCAAGCTATTTTGAATAGCTTAATAAAGCTATATAGCTTTTTCAAGCTATATAGCTAAATCAAGAGATTGTGCTGGACCTGTTTACGTCGTCAATGGGTCTCCATAAATTATGCGAGTCGTAAAATGCAAAATTCATATTTAATTGCACTGAAGGAAAAACTATTAGATAATTTATTAGTTTAAGTAATGTTGAATCTTTTTCTATTTAAATGAATAAATTTTTCGTTAATTTTTCTTTGATTTGCGACAATCGCCATAAAATTTGCAGTTCGGTAGCGAATGTCAACATGTCCAGATCATTTCCCGTAGAAAACCCTCTGAGGGTAGTTTTTGTAAAATTTACAAACTGTGAATATTATCGAGCATTGCAGAAGCCCAGGGACAGTTATGACAATTTAAATCATAGTTATTTATGCCCGGGGCATTCTGATCAGCCAAAGGAAAGCTTGGACTTGAAGGCCACAAACAACTCCGAGATTGCAGATCCACGTTGCCTCGTCTGATGTATTGTCGTGTGCAGTGAGCATGTAAGTTAGTACATATGTCTGAAGATTTTTATAATTTTGAAATTGAATAACATGCTGGTTTTTATTGATTTATGGGAATTCGCACGGGAATTATAGATCTGTTATCAATATATTTCGTCTGCTTATTCCCGCGCCTTGTCAACATTTGAAGAGGATATTATTATTATTGTAATTATTATTTCCATGTGTTCGTCAGTTTTATGAATAATAATTCACAAAATAGCATTTTTGTATATGATTACAACAAATTTTATTTCTAACGAGCCTAATGTGTTTAAGACACAACGATCATCAAGTTACATGTATTAGAAAAGTAAGGTGTTCCGCTTGGGTACAAATCAAACAGAAAAAATAACTTGATATTGTATGTCGAAATATACAATCGTCTAATAGATAGAGCAAAGTGAAAAATAATTGTTCAAAAACTATTTATTTATTGTTTTTTTTCCTTTTCTGTATATTTAGGATTTAA